GTTTGGAGTCTGTGTGTATCTGGACATCCAAAAAACGGTTTTATGGGAAAAATTTTGTGAAGATGTACACAAAATTTTCCTGACCGCGATGTACATTGCACCTCACTCCATGTCGCGCGGTTGGCTGGACCTAGGTTTCAAAAGCAAAATAGCAGCAGACGAGGCTGCAGCAGTGCGCATAGTGTTCAATCTCCCCGAAGGGCAATGGGTCATCAAAACCAAATGCACCAGATGGACAAAATCAAACCAAATTTTCCTCACGTTTGACTTTTTGCCTACTATGGTAAAACGTGATATTTTGGAAAAACACCTAAAAGATGGTCTCACCATATACGGTGAAATACAATCTTTTGAAATGCAACGTTTTACGCTGATGCCACACCTGTTCACTGGCAAAGAAATCGCAGTTCTGACCCCAACTGAGGAGATTGCAAAGGACCTAACCCAGATCCCGCACTCCACCTTTATTGACATCACAGGGCATACCACCCACCCATTCTGGGTAACCGTGGACAGCGCGCCCCCCATTTGCACCCACTGTGACATGTTTGGCCATAAGGCGCACACATGCCCCATCAAGGAGGGCGTCACATTCCAAGAGCACCCCTCGGCGGCCATGGCCAGTGGAGAGGCGCACTACGAACCAACTGCAAGCACCAAGGAGGCTTTCCCGCGGGGAGCACAAGGCTGCTACCTATTGGTAAAGCCCTACTCCCCGCAGGAGCGGAAGAAGGCCAAGCAGGCCCATAGGGCCGCGGCCAAGGAAGCGGCCAAGGCCACCACCACCATCCCACACTCACAACGCCAGGAGGACATGGAGACCTTCGCGGTGGAAGCAATTTTGGAATTCATCACCCAATCAGATTGGGAGGCCCATGCTGAGTGGGCCACTCAATCTGAGGATCCGATAGGAGATTCAATCTCACCCAATCGCTGCACCCAAGCTCTGGTCAAAATTGACTTGGGACCTATCCCAACCGAAAAAAAAAATTTTGCCCCGCTTGATGGTGCACCAAACTTATCTGCACCACAAAAATTCGTCCGATGTTGGGAAAACAAAAAGTGAAGGCCAAAGCCAACGCGACTCTTTCTGCAAAAATTAACAAAAACTCTGATAGCATTGCTGCTAACACCCATGCTGCTGTGAAGGCCCGTGGGGTTCTAGAAGAGGCTGGTGGGCCCAGGGGCCCACCCCCTCGCACCTAAGGTGCAATGGGGGAAACCTTCACTCTAGGGACGCTGAATATCGCCGGACTCAAGGCCTCCCCATCCCAGGCTAGGAAATTGAGTTTTTTAAAACACAATTTACCCGTGGATATCCTTGCCATCCAGGAGTCCCACTGTCCACGAGGTTCCAAGGAAGCTTGGAAAACAACGCTCCTACCATCCCTATCCTTTTGGTCGAAGCACTGTGGGGTGCTAATTCAGTAAAACAATTTTACAAATTCACATCCTCAGAAACATTCCTAAATGGCCGAGTGCTCGTTGTCACCTTCTCGTGGGCCGACGTTGCACACAATAGTCAACATTTACGCCCCAAATGGTGCACATGAGCGTCAGGAATTTTTCTTGTCAGTCAAATCCCTCCCGCTACCCCCCCCCCCCCCCCCCCCCCCAATTCTTTCCTAGTTGGTGACATGAACTGTTGGCTAACCTCACCAACGGACTGGTGGCTGCCATCACCCCACGCCCCATAGGGTCACATAGAACTACGCATTCTAAAAGCCACCCTTGGGTTAATGGATGCACTGCTGTGACATGCCCCACTGCTCAAAAACATGATGCGTCCCCACATCCACAACGGCCAATTAAGGTCCATGACCCGCATTGACCTTATTCTAATGCCAGCGAAATTCCAACCCCACATCTCCCACTTCAAAACAATGAAAATGGAATTCTCTGACCACTGACTGGTCTCAATAACATACCACTTACCCGTCACAGTTGCAAAGGCCCCACATTGGTGTAAAATCTGTCCCCCCCCGAGCTCGCATCACCAGGATTTTCCACGTGGGTGGAAGAGGCAACTTTGGTGAAATCATTTGTTGCACCATTTTGCGCGGACCCCATTTCCACATGGGCAACTTTCAAAGAAGACACCATCCACCACTATCGCCATCTCTCCTCCAGGCGCTCGCGAGCCACATTGGTGGTTATCTTGCGTGCGCTGGCGGAATTGGCCCACTTGGAGTCCAACATTCTGGCCATAGGATATAGCCCTGCATGGGGCTGGAAGTGGGTGGAGGCAGCTGCCCACCTCAACGCACTCGAAAGACAACACAAACATTGGGTTTGTGTCCAATACAGGGCCACACGCATCACTAAAGGTGACAAGTGCACCGCATACTTCTTTAAAAAATTTTGCACCATGCCAGAGTGTGGCCTGCACACAGGTGTGAAGATCGGATAATTCCATTGCGGACACACTGGCTGAAGTGGCAATCGAAACGCAAAGATATTACTCCAAGTTATACCAAGCTGAACCAATTCAGCTGGCTAAAATGGCAGATTTTCTTGACCGAGCTCATATCTGCACCATTTTCTGATACCCGAAATAATGAATTTAATTACTCTGAACGAATTATGGACAGCCATTCGCGGGTGCACCAAACTGAAAATGCCCAGGCTCAGATGGCATTCTATATGAGTTCTACAAAAAATATTTTAAATATATATCCCTACTGCTGCTAGCCTCACTCAACCAAAGCCTGTTGGAAATGCGCCTCCTACCAGGAGGACATGAGGCTTTTACTGTCACACTCTTCAAGAAAGGGGATAGGCTTGACTTAGCCAACTGGCGCCCCATTTCTCTAACAAACACAGAAACCAAAATTTTAACCAAAAATCATGGCTAACCGTTTAGGGACTGTAGCATCTGCCACCATCTCCCCAGAACAATTCAGTTTCATCCCCAGAAGGTCGATTTGGGATAACGTGCACTCTGTGGCTAATGTGTGTCAGTCCACAGCCTCTGGGGCACTTGTATTCTTGGACCAACAAAAGGCCTATGATAGAGTAAACTGGGAATACCTAAGGGCCTGCCTCCATCAATTCCGCCTACCCCCCCGCTTCATAAACTGGGTGATGCTGCTCACGGAATCTGCAACAATGGCAGTGCGTGGGGCAGGCTTCCTAACGGGAAGTAGTCCGCCCTCAAAGGGGCCTGCGACAAGGGGACCCCTCAGCCCACTCTTATACAACTTCAGCCTTGACCCACTACTGCAAAATGTGAATACCCACCTCACTGGGGTCCATGTGCCAGGCCAAACCCCAGTCAAGATGATGGCATTTGCAGATGATTGCGTGGTGGGGGTGTCTAATAACAAAGATGCACGCGCGCTTGAAGCCCTCATCCAGGAATATTCCCGGGTAAGCAACGCGGCACTGAACGCCTCCAAAACTGAAATCATCCTCCTTGGTCGGTTTCAGAACTGCTGGGCCCCAGCAAGTAGTTCCCAACACAGCCCATCTGCTCGCCCACGTCCATGACTTACTAACTCAACACACCGCTCCACTGGTGCTCCCCTTTGTGCCACGTCCTACCATAGGACCGGTACGCCATCTGGGCGTGTGGATGGAGGCAGGTGGATACGCGTCAGCAGTAATGGAGTGCCATATACTGGACAACGTGACAGAAGCGAATCGCCTCTCTCAGAGCCCACCCTATAACCCCTCACTGGCAGGGTTGTTCTTGCCCAACTCTATGCTCCTATCCAAAGTCTGGTTTGGAGCTCACGCCATCCCCTTCTCCCCCAAGCTTCTTCAAATCCCTGTATGCTTTGCTACAAGGATGGCTTTGGTCAGGCCGCCCTCCACCAGTACGGCTAGAGGTCATGTTTGGCCCTCATCATCATGGTGGCATGGGCCTGCTTGACTTCAAAGCCCATGCTGCCAAGATCCTGGGGACCTGGATGGCGGCCATCACTGCTCCTACACTCCCATCCCAACACTGGTCCTGCGCGGCCCGCTACAACTTCTTCCAAGCCTTGGGCCTCAACAATCCATCAAACCCCACTCCCTGATGAAATACCTCGCATCACACACATCGGCTACAGGTCCTCACGGGACTAAAACCCACTACAAACAAATCCTACTCTCCATGCGAAGCTCAGAGTGGAGAATTTGTATTAGTGGACATACAACCCGAAGCAGCTGCCCATCTCCTCAGTTCACACAAGAGGTACAGGGGCTACCCATCCATGATGGCGTGATCCCCATTTGATCCCATGTCCTATCCAGGGTGGACTACCTGGACATGATGGACATCCCTTATTCCACTGAGACCCAAAAGACTATCTGGAAATATGCACACCATCCTCTGTTGCAGCCTCAAGTCCGCTCCCATGTGGCGCTGCCTGAGGTAGGTGTATCATACAGCTGAGCGCTCTAATGCTTTACACTCATCCTGTGTCGTGTGTGTGCCAGTATGGAACGCTGTTCCACCGCCTGGAGAAGTGTCCTACCTCTAAAGTGATATGGCGCAAAGTCCAACGTCTGCTAGGCCAGGATCAAACGCATCCCTTCAGTCTGTCAAGAGATATGTTTGCTTCATCAATGGCCTCCCCCTCCACCCTCCCTCCATGCTCTGGTGGTTGCAATCGCCATGTGGATCATCCACACGATTGTCTTGGATGCCATCGCTGGCTCCATCCCCACCCTCCCTGAAGCTGTCCACAGATTCCGGTCTCATCTGGTGGAACACTTTCAAGCATGGATGTTTGATACCTCCCACCGCGTCGCCGACAGCTGGTCTCCTCCTGGTTCCCAGTCTGGTTTATCAAATCAGACCCCTTCCTCCACACGTGCTCAGTAGTGGCTACGGCCCCTTCACACGTTCCCTCCCCTCCCCATAAGTGGCGTTCCCGCTGGCAACAAGAGATAGCATCGCTTCTCTTGGTGCCTCCCCTGGTACTAAGTTTTGTCTCATCTGAGTCATATTCAGAAGTGTCCGTCCCATGGTCAGCCTTCCCCGCAATAAATTAAATTAAATGATTGGATTTGCCAGGGGGTGGACGGCAAGTCGGTAAGGGCATATGGCTATCAACCTGAAGGTTGTGGGTTCGATTCCCGCCCTTTGCACATCAATTGAGGTGCCAGCTAAAAGAAGCTATTGGTGGTTAATAGGTCTAATAACACCTAACCTTACCCTTGACGTAACCAGAAAAATTTGAGTCCCAATCTGGAGGTGAAGAACTTTTCAACGGAGTTGACCCTGTTCAGGTTTCATGTCCTTTCTTTCTTTTGGTAATGCCTGTCCCCTGGTCAGCTTGCCTCGGTTAAATAAAATGATTGGATTTTCCAACTTGGCCTTAGGTTCTATTTCCAACGCTGAATCAGTATCCTCATTGGTCACAGGTCCTGACGCCACCCCTGTACCTGAGCCAATATGCTTAGGTTCACCTTTCTTTACAATCTCTTCAGTGTCTTCAGAAATGACCATATCTGCCACTAAACAAAATTATCCTACTTTTTATTGCCAATGAAAATTAGTATTGTAGCACACCAGGTTTCCTTTGAGACCTTGGCTGACAGTGGAGCAGCGGATAACTTTATGAGTCTATAGTTGGCTCACCAGCTCAATCTTGACCTGATCGTGGGTCCTGCGTTGATGGTCACATTGTCAGCCTCCCAGCTATCCTACAAAGTGTAACGCCTAATACACTTCTTGGTTCACCAGTTTTGTTTTTGTGATTGCTTCTCAACAATGCCTGACCTCATGTCCTTGGTAATTTTGGGTGTGGTTGGTGGCGGTGGCAGCATGTAAGGATTTGCCTTAAGTCTATTATGGTGTTATTCTCCAATGATCAGACCGAGGGTGAGTTTCTCTTACTGGATACCCTTACTAAAACTCAAGGTTGTGGATCAGTCATTTCCCTTGTTTCTCCCATGGGCTTCCCATCGGATTTTCTAGAAGCATTGATGAAATATCATAATATATTTGATTTTCATGAAGGTGGACCGTCTTCCACCACATATAGAATTTGACATAGGTTTCTGGACAATGGTGCAGGTGGTGAATATAAACATCCCACTGTACCTGCATACAGCGGAGTAGGAGTCTGCCCTCAATGCACAGTTAGATGACATGCTTAAGAAAGGTGGTTGGTTAAAGATACATCCCTTGTTGCCTCTCCCATTGTCTTCATCAAGAATGCAGATAGTTCCCTTCAACTCTGCGTGGTTTATGGCCACCTTAATAAGATCACATCCACGACCCCTACCCATTGCCTTTGGAACATACAATTGACCAATCAATTGCCAAGTTGCATGTGTTCTCAAAACTTAAACTAGTTATTGCCTTTAACCAAATTTGGGAGATAGAAGTTCAGGAATAGCTTACTGTTTTCTGGACATAACAAGGCATATTCCAATTTTGAGTGATGCCTTTCAGGATTAATGGTGCATCCACAGCATTTCAAAGGGTTGATTGATAATGTGCTGGGTGATCTCTGGTTCACCTGTGCAGTCACATATATCAATGATATTTTGGTACATCCCTCACTCCCAAATAACATGCAAAAAATTTGGAGGCCATAGTGGCTGCCTTACATAAGGCAGGTCTGTTTGTCAAGTCATCAAAATGCAAGTTTTATGAGGAAGAGGTCACCTTTTTGGGCAATCGAGTCTTAAAAGATGGCTACGCTATCCCACCCAGAAAATTGGATGCCATCTGCAAGTGGCCTACTCCAATGTCGCAGAAGCAATTGAGAAGATTTTGGGCACCATCCTATTCCAAAAAAGTTCTCACCCGCCTTATTCCAGTTAGCTGCCCCACTTCATCCACTCACAGGCAAAAACGTCCACATTTCATAGACGCCTGAGCTCCAGCAGGCACTTGATTCCTTAAAAAAAGAGGCGTTTTTATCACCCCCTTCCTTAAGCATGCAGAACCTCTTTAAACCCTATATTTTAGCATGTGATGCGTCTTCCACCACAGTAGGGAATGTCTTGCTCCAAGAGCATGATGGGTTGGAATACCAAGTTGCTTATTTCTCGCAAGTTCTCTTCCACTAAGCAATCCTGGGCCATCTATGACAAGGAGCTGATAGCTGTGCCATGGGCCCTGATCCACTGGCGGTATCTCTTGAAGGGTTCTCAACATGAGTTGAATTTGCAAACAGACCACCAAGCTCTCCTTTACTTCTGAAAGCCACAGAAGTTGGCACAGTGCCAGTCCAGTACATACTGTGATTTGTGCAGCTTTAACTTCAAATGTGAGTTTGTGAAAGAGCGTTAGGTGTCCTTCAAGACTACTTTAGCTGCAACCTCACGCATTTTCCAGCTGACTCAGATGAGACGGATCTTGTTACAGTCATTCCCCCCTATCAAAACTTGGCTCTTGTCCATCTCACGGTTTCAGCAGCAGATCTTGCTCCAGACGCGCCTTTAATTTCATGGGTCTTAGAAGCACAGACAGCATGTGCTAAAGGGGTGAAGCTTTTGGAGCGGTTGTCTCTCTCTTCCTCCAAGCATTCCCTTTATTCTCTAGCTGAGGGTCTCCTCCAATTGTGTTCATGAGTGTGGGTCCCTCCTCTTTTCAGCACCAAAGTGATCCAGGCTCATCGTGATCCTCCTGATGTTGGTCATTAAGGAATAATAAGTTCATTAATATAATCGATCATACCTATAATTGGCCGTGTAACAAACAAAATTAATCCATTATTGCAATTTGACTTATATTTGGATATTACATATTGAGTCAAATTATTTAAAAGATTTTTAGTCATTGGTCAGGTTTGGGCGCTGAGTTGTGCCTCGCCCATGACATTCTTTAGGCTTGCAAGAGCTTAAAGAATGATGCAGGAGAGGCTCCCCACAAAGGGCGACCTTAAAGGTTGAGCCCGCGCAATTCTAAACCTTATTTGTAAATTATCTCTTCTAAAGTTTATGGCCTAAGCTGGGCTACTCCTGTGGCTCTAAGGCCACCCTTACCTTGTCTTATGGTGGGCTGCAACGCATCAAATTTTTATTGTGAGAACAAAAAGTTAGGATTTTGGGGCTCAATCTCCCCTAAATATCCTGTCTTTTACATGGTGTGCTCGTAATGCCTAAAATATCAGGATCTTCTCTAAGGTGGTTTTCATTTGATAATAAACAAATAAGGTTAATTATGGGGCTCTCTACCTCGCTTAAACTATTTTGTATTTTTCCTTGCTTTGAGTTTTCCTAAATATGAGGTTAATTGGTTAGTTGCAGGAGGATTAATGCTTACTTAAGAGTCTAACCTCGCATTAGACATTAATTTTATGTCAAAGGTTAGTGTCAAACTAAAGACAAGATGACAATTGGAAACTGGGTTTTATGGCTGTTAAGGTTGAGCTTGCCAAAGGATGTCCCAGAATGGATTGTGGGCTGTGTAACTTGCGCATGGGCCAAATCTAACCGGTCTGGTAGGAATAGTCTCTTACAATACTTTCAACAAGCAGAGGGCTCATGAACATCAGTGTCCATGGATTTTATTGTTGATCTCCCCCAGCTCCAAGGGGTTTACAGCAGTTATGGTGGTTGTAGACCACTTCACTAAATTCTCCTTATTTATCACATGCTCCTCTGCGATTACCTCTGAAGTAAACTGCCAGTCTTTTTGTGCATCATATATTTTTAACGTTCAGCATCCTGCAGAAAATTGTCAGTGACCATGGGCCCCAATTTATGGTGCAGCTTTTGAATGAGTTCTTGGAGATCTTGAAGATTAAAACCTGCCACTCCACCGAGTACCATCCACAGTCAGATGGGCAAACTGACTGAATCAATCAGATTTTGGAGCAGTACCTTTGGTTTTATGCTTCAGCTGCTCAGGATACCTGGGCGGATGACCTATCCCGTCCAATTTGCAGATGAAAATAGAACCCATGCATCCATGGGCTTCTCCCCATATGAAGCGACTTTGGGATACAATCCATCATTTTCAGTCAGTCCATGCATTTTCCCAGAAGTATCAGCCACTGCTGATCCTCCCAGTACATCTGTGCCACACAGTTCTTGGTTTGGTAATACTTAACTAAGGCTATAAGTGATTACAAACAATTTGCAGATCAAAAGTGGCTCTGGTGCCCAAAATAAAGGTAAAATCCCATGTCATGCTTGACACATGCCACTTGCGCATGCAGATGCCATTGCATAAGTTTGCCAGCAAGTGATCAGGTCTCCACCTGGTGGAAGAGGACTTGGGAATTAGTGTCTTCTGTTTATAAATTGCCACTCCACTGAAAGCAAAACTCAGTTTCCATGTGTCCCAGTTGTCCTTGTTTAAGGGGGCAATACCCTCAGACCCTGAGCCCATTGTTATTGAGGGAGCTGTGGAAGCTGAAGTTGAGGATATCCTGGCTTCCCGCAAATCCTGCCAATCAGTCCAATACCTCAATGCGTGGAAAGGCTATTTGGATTAAAAGAAAAGCTGGGTTGGCGCGTGGGACTGTGCCAACTGCTCAGAGCTCATCGAGGTTTTCCATGCTACTCACCCAGATGCTCCTCATCCTCCCTAAAAATAGCTACCCTAATGGCAATCAAGTTGCCCAAGGCCCATAATAATGTGGCTCTCACTCAATTCTCTGGCTGTGCCCCCTCTTGGCAAAAGGAAAGGGTAATGTAAGTCTGGAGGAGAGTCCCCTCCATTTAGACTGGGTGGCATTCCCATTCCCATCAAAAAGGGTCCAAAAGGCCAGCCACCCCTCTTGTCACACAGGGCAATCTTGCCCACATGGTGGATGACGGTGGTTAACAGCCTACATTTAAGGATCCCGCCATCAGTCCCCATATTAACTTGAAATAAATTAATACAACAAATCAAGGGGATTTGTGCTGAGCTTTCAGTTAGTCATCATTATCTTGATATTAAAGGTTTGAGCAAAATCTTGGGCAGCGAGCCTTTGGCATCAAGGCCTGAGAGCCCCAAACCCACGGCAACAAAGCCAATGGGCACTCAATTTCAAATATTGAAGTAACAAGTGTAGGATTTTTGGCAAATATTTATGTCATCAGGCCATTGGAAAATACAGCCTGCAGTTTGGAACCTGCCCTGGACCCACCAAAATCTTTGCTTAATAATTACTGCTTGGCCAAATGGACGCCAGAGCAAC